CAATTTTGCTTATTTTAATACCAAAATAGATTAAAATAAGCAAAATTGGATTAAAATAATAAGCGTTGCAGCTTATTTTAATGCCTTTTAATTTTCTGTGAAACGATTATTGAAGAAATAATTTTTTAGAATGAATAATTCTATAATTTTTTACCTGAAAAATATTTCTTGTAGTTTTTATTAATCAACAAATTATAAAAAAAATAGTTTTTTAGGTAAACAATTTTATAATTTTCCGTGTTAAATAAAAATTGATTTCTAATCGTTGATCATAAACGTTGCGTACTTCAGTATTGTAGACAACCCTGAAAATGTTGTGTAATAGCTTGAGATTATTTAAATTTTTTGTTTGCAATTTATAAAATTCACTCAATGCAATTTTGTTAGATGTCAAAATTCGTGTACAACATACCTATATGAAATAGATAAAAAAAGTGAATTTTAATTTCTGGGTAGGACAAATTTTTTTAAGTGATTGTGTAGTTAAGTAAAGTTTGGTTAATGTTAATTGAGAAAATTATGCGATTTTATAAAAAATTTTGACATGAAAATTAAGAAGCATTACATAAAAATGTTTAAAAATAGGTATTTAAAATTAAGGTATTATTAAGGTATTTCAATTAATTAATCAAATCATTTAAAATTAAGATATATCTCTTATGTTAATTATAGGCATTCGTAAAAAAACGATATTTTCCATTCATAAATTATATTTTTTTTTAATTATATATTTTTTGGAAGAAAACGTTATTTTTAAGAATAAAATTTATAATTTTAAAAAAATTGTTAATTTACACACATTTTTAGGTAATCAAAATTTTTTCTCACATCGCTATTACAAATTTTGTTATAAATGATGCAATTTTTGTTTACAATTGTTTTTTTTCTGCATAAAAATATTAACCACTTCACTAAAGAGATTTTTCAAAAAAATGCACTGTTTCAAAAATATGATTATTTGTTTTTGTAACAAAAAATGCGCTTTATTTTACGAAAATTGCACTTCTTTTCTTTAAAAAAAATAATCATATTTCTAAAACGGTGCATTCTTTGGAAATTCTCTTCGGTGAAGTTGTAATTAATATGTTTATATAGAAAATAAGCCATAGTAAACAAAAATTGCATCATTTAAAAAAAATTTTGTAATAGCGAAATGAGAAAAAAGTTTGATTACCTAAAAATGTGCGTAAATAAAGAATTTAAATCAGAAATTTTTTCTTAAAAAATAACATATTTTCTTCCAAAAAATAGAATTAAAAAAAAATTCCTAATTCTTAAAAGGGAAAATACTTTTTTTTTGTGAATGCCTGTAATTAGCAAGAAAAATGCCATAATAAGTAAAAATGATTGAGAATGGAATTCGTCGAAAAGATATACTTCAGTGCACCTAATTAAACACCATACATCTCAAATCATTGGGAACAAATTGCCTACTATAATAAACAAGTGTTCCTACGTGAAAAATATCCATAAAATCATTAGAAACAATTTTAAACACTTTTACTTTTTTTTTGCATTTATGGAATTTTTTGTGGCTGTCTAAAAAATATTTGATTTATTTTTTTTTTAATAATCATTAGAATTTCATAATATGAACATTCCTGAAGAGAAATATCGTCAGCCGATTGAAAAATATTAATGTTTAACGATTTTACTGCAATTTTACGAAAAAGCAGCTTTTCCCCATTAAAAAATATACATCGGAAACTTTAAGAGCCTGACAGCATCATTTTATATCAACCAATTACAAAATAAAAAAATACTGGTCTCTTTTTTCCATTTGAGACAATTCTAAGGAGATGGAGTAAGAAAATTTTAAAAAATTTATTTTCCTGTGTATTTTTGGATGTTTCAAAAAATTTTCCGACACCTAAAGATATTTTTCTTTAAATTATTATTTGTAGAGTTTTTTGAGAAGCATTTTTTGAACTATTAGCGAATATTTTAGGATTATTTTATTCAGAGTTATTAAAGTTTTAAAAATCATGATTTTTTACTTAAAAGTTTTAAGGTAATTCCTAAACTGCCATCATTTTATGGTGCATTTAAAATTGTATCAATTAACCTATTTGCGAACCTTTTACGAGTAAATATAAAGGAGTTATTGACATTTCAAAAGTTTTTAAAACCGAACCTTTAGCTGGGTTATAGTTTTTAATACAAAAATAATTGCGATCTTTATAAGGAAGCAAAGTGTAAATTTTCTGACACATTTCCCTGACAAAAAATTTTTATTCAATTTAATGAATTATAATAGAAATTTAATAACTTAAATATTAATAAGTTAAAAAAACATGTTTATATATATTTCACTCTAATTTCTATTAGTTGACATTTTTAATCAATTAATAGTTTAAAATTTTTATAAAATTAATTTTGGAGAAATTAAAACTTTAATAAATAAAAATTTGAATAAACTAAAATTCGAATGATTTGAATATCTTAAATCAATTAATCTTTAAACAGATTGAAAATTTGTTAATTTTAAGTTTCGATCGTCAAATTTTTTTGACTAATAAAAATTGGAATTGATTAAAATTTGGAGCAATTGAAATTAAAATTTAGATTGAATTGAAATTTATATGAATTAAAATTTTAACAGATTCAAAATTAGGTTAAATTGAATTTTGGATTGATTGAATTGATAGATGATTATAGAATTGGAATTAATTTAAATTTAGTTTTTTGAAATTTGTCATAAATCATTTTTAAATTGATAAATATAGATATGCATAGAAAAAAAAATTATTTTTAAACAAATATTTTCTTTAATTATTTCTCATTATTTGCTTTACTGATATACAAAGTAAAATGTTGGTTGTCATTTATCGATTTTCAAAGTTTCGCGCGACGACTTCAATTCCGTTCCGCTATTCAATATAGTTGGACAAATCAGAATGTCGAGCCTGCTTGTTTCAGAGACTGAATTATGGTTTTGTTCTGTTTTTTGTTTTATGAATAATCTTTTCTAATTATTTTTTCCATTTACCGCGAATGTCAGTCGCCTTTCTATATAAATTGTTCACTATGGATTTATTTATTCTTTGAAGTCAAATTCTTGCAGCACAACAATTATATCACAGTAAGAATATTATATCAAAAAATTATCATATTAAACTGTAGTCATATTCATTTTATAAATAATAAAATATTAATAAAGTTTAAATAATTAAATTTTTTTGAAATTATTATATTTTTTTTCTCCAAATATAATTTTAAAAAATTTATTAGTAATATATTTTTTTTAAATCGATTTTTTTAAAAATTAATTCGTCAGCCCGAGTTACAGAATTGGGAGGTTCAATTAGAGTCACTGAATGGAAAACAATAGTCACAAGCCTCAGATCGACTTTAAGGCGCAAAAAAAGTCGTTTTAGTCGATTTACATTTCAAAAAAAGTCATAAAAGTCGATTTTTTTATTTTAATTAAATTTAATTGAGCTGCCGAATCAAAGCAGGGCACATAACTATATGTAATTCAAATGGGTTATGTGCCCTTCTTTGATCCAGCAGCTTAATTAGTTAATATATGCATTGTATACTAAAAAAGACGTATTTTTGTTTAAAAATTTTGTAAAAAAAAGTCGCATCTTTTTAAAATAAGTCGAAAAAAGGTTATGTTTTCGAAAAAAGTCAGAAAAAGTCGAAAAGTCTTATAATCCGAGGGCTGAAGTCAGAATAAGCAAAAATTCAATTTTAGATAAAAAAAAAGTAAGTATAAATTCCCATACTCGAAAATTTTTTTCTGTGCCGTTGTTATTGGTATATAGATATATGCTTTTCAATTGCACCCTTGCAATTTAGTCGAACATCCATAGTGTGAAACGTCTATTGAATGAAACTTCCCCTTCTTTGCCCTCTCAATATAGCAAAAACAACGAAAATTATAAGGTTAAGCTTGGGTTTATTCACATAATATATATATATATATATATATATATATAACATCTCTCAAAAGTTTCACATTTCGGATGTTTTACTGTATTACGATTTATTTACTTTAAATAGATAAGATAAAAAATAAGAAGCTTATATATATAGTAAAACATCCGAAATGTGAAACTTTTGAGAGATGTTATAAATATTATGTGAATTGAGCTTAACCCAAGCTTAACCTCATATAGTTTTCGCTGTTTTTGTTCTATTGAGAGGGCGAAGAAGGGGAAGTTTTACTCAATAGACGTTTCACACTATGGATGTTCGACTAAATTGCAAGGGTGCAATTTTTTTATTTATTATTTATTTATTTTTATATACATATATATATATATGTGTGTACATACTCATACTTAAGAAGCGGGCTGAATTTGTATTAAATAGTCTTAAAATTCAGTATACTTAATTATGGTGCATACATAAACCCTTAGAATCTACTCATAATATATGCGTAACGACTGAACTCCTATATAACATTTACTAATATAATAATAATAATAATAATAATAATAATAGTCCGGATATTCTATGGACAAATATCCGGAGACTCTTTAAAACAGGGATATCTACAGAATGTTCGGAGATTTCCAAAGGACCTCTTAGAGATATCCTTATTTCCAAAAGCCTGCGGATGTCTGTAGGATATCCTAAATATTCGGATGATGCTATCCCTCATAACAAGTGAATATTCAGGATCGTGCGGATATACTTGGAATATCTATCGGAGTTAATCCGGCGGTTTGGATATCCATGAATATCCTAAGGATATCCAAACCTCTGAAATGAGTATCCAGCTGAATATCAGAGTGTTATAAGCAGGGATAGTATTTTGAAAGTATAAAAAGGAATATAGAAAGTTTATACTTCTGTATCAGAGAATGTATTTTAGAAATAAATCCTAACAGCATCCGGATATTCAGGATGTCCTATAATGTCCACAGATATCCTATAATTTTGCCTAGAACGTCTGTATAGAATATCCTGAAATATCCGTTGCTGTATTGTGTAAAAGTAAGTGTTAACGATTGTAGAACATTGCAAATAAATGTTAAAGGTCCTCTTACCTATGCATTCCTCGTGCTATAGTATTATCAAGTAGTGTTTCTGTTGAAACAGTTATTATCCAAAGCAACACATTGAATATTATGTTGAACACACCGTTTTTTCTTCTTAAATCAGAAATAAATTCCTCCAGATAGAACATTTTGAGCAGAGCTGATAGCTTATTAAGGAAGCACATTATTTACACACTTAACTCGAAAAAATGAATGGTAAAAAACCATATATGCACATTTGAAACACATACACACTCTCACCCCACTAAGGGCCAAACACTGCGTCACTAAACAGCCCTTAGACTTGGTTTTAGAATCATAAAACGTTGAAAATGACGTTGTCTCAATATTGCACTTGGCTTCATTGATTTAAATAACATTATTTGAGTGCACTTTTTTTATAAAAAATTAGGGATAAAACACAGTATGCTTTTGAGTAGGCATTAAATACCCCTTTAGTACACAACAGCTCAAAGCAATAAAAAGCGTTGACATCGCCTTCCGATTCTGGAAATCATTAATTCAATAGTGTGGCGAACATATCGGTAGTAGAAGGGTAAAAAAAAGAATGCACACTTGGAAGCAAGTGAAATCGGAGAGCATTGAAGGTCCAGGGCTGCGCATATTCAGTGTAGGGACTGTGATCACTTTTTTCGGGCTTTAATGATGTATTGCGAGGCATAATTGAAAAAAGTTGAAAAAACAGTCAGTAAATCGTTCATTTGAGCTGTAAGATTATCTTATTCAATCATTCCTTGGTTTTCCATACACACTCAAAAAATACACACACGACCGTTTCAGAACAGGGATCATTCGTGACTACTGGCGCTAGTTCGTCACCCTCTTCCTGAACCCCCTCTCTTTTCCCTTAACGTCTACCTCTCACTTCTGGTCAATTCTCTCGTCCCACTTGGATGCTTCTCCACGCGCCCCTATCCCCTCCAGAGAGCAGTACAGCGGCACGCACTCAGCTACCCGGAGCATGACACACGCTTGCTGCTTGGAGTGGGGGTACGAGTCGCGTGGCGTCGACCGTAATACTGCTGGAGGGGATAGTAAGCATGCGCAAACTTGTTCTTCTTTCTAGCGAACACTGCACCTAGCTCGAAGGCCGTCGCTTCACACACACACTACCACCACTGCAATATCACCACACCGCTCTCTCCTCCGTTCATCAAGGGCCTCTTGCCAACTCTCTTATTCATGTTTTGCTTTTTACTTTTCCCTTCCTTTCTTCTCCTACCGCAGCACCTATACCAACCATTCTCAAAGACTCGCTTCGTCCTCTTGCTCTTGACTGCTATTCGTAAACGTACTATAAATACAACTTTACTTTCGTCTCAAAATCTATCACGATTCTTTTAAATACTAAATCATCCATTGTTACTATATTCTTTACATATTCTACTAGCACAGGGTTGCCACAAGTTGTGGAAGAAATTAACTTTAGACTAACGTTAAAACTATTGTTAGTTTAATGTTAGGTTAACCTTAATAATTATATGAATATAACATAAGAACTGTGAAATTGACATTTTTTTAAATTTTAGTGAAAAACAATTGAATTTTACTAACGCTTAATGGAGATTAATGTTTTGTTTACAAATATGATTTCTTAACCCTCTGCTTACTCAGTTGATCATTATCGAGAAAAAACGACAATTCGGTCGCCTGATGGGGACTATATGGCAATTACGTTCAGTGGCGCTAGAATAAGGATATAATAAGTTGGCATATATACATAGGGTTAAAATTTAAACATCTTCTAAGTACCTTGAATATTTTTTTCAATGTTTTTATATAATTATTAAATATTAATTACTGTAGCCTAATGTTACTCTCTCAATTTGAATCAGTGAAATTTCACTGGTGAAATAGCTATTATAGAAGTCTGTTATTGAATCATGGAGTGAAAATTTCACTGGAAATCAGTGATATATGATTCAATAACCGACTTCTATAGCTATTTCACTGATTCAAATTGAGAGAGTAAACTAAAATTAACTACTAATGATATTTTGATGTTAATCACTATAACGAGGCACACAAAAAAATAAATGTTGAGTTCGAGGTCAAACCATGACTCTTTATGTTTTTGGGAGCGCTGAAACCGAATCTGAAGTCAGTTTAACCCCATCACGTTAAGTATTTGATGTAACCTAAAAAACCTCAAAATTCTAAAATCAAAAAAAATTCGGATCTATAAGTCTTACCATGAGTAGTTTATGTTTTTAGGGTTTCGTGCCCCAGACCCGAAAGCCTTATAGTTTCGCTTTGGCATCCATCCGACTGTCGTACACTAGTACGGTTGCTATGGTAACAGTTCCCATAGTAACCGTTGCCATCACAACTGTTTCCATAGCAACCGTTTCGTTGACAACCGTTTCCATGACAACCATTACCATAGCAACCGTTGCCATGATAAATGTTACCTTAGCAGGCCACGAAACCCGATGCCAAATCTGAAGTCTATTTAATCCCATCACATTAGGTTTTTGAAACAAACTAAAAAAATCCCAAAATTTGACCCCAAAATTTTGATATACCTAGAAAAATTCTTTATAAGTCTTACCATATATGTCTGCTTTATGTTTTTTGGGCTGCTGAAGCCATAAACCTGAAATTTATTTAACCCCATCACGTCAGGCTTTTGACATAACATAAAACAAGTTGTAAATTCAGATGTTCATTACATGAACATTTTGCTTCCTCTTTACGATCAGCAAAAAATTTGCTTCCTCGTGGAGAAAGCATTAAAATTGAAATAAACATACAAAAATAATATAATAATAATAATATAAACATTTGAGTACCTATAGATTTGAGATAAATTTAAAGAATTAATGGAAGTTAAAAAATCAAAAATTAAAATTTTAGCTGAAATTTCTAAAAATTAATGAAAAATAATATATAATTTATAATTATTTACAATTATATCGATTCGTTTTAATGCAAGGAACACAATTATTTTATATTTAAACTTGAATTTAAATAAATACAACATTCTTCAACTAAAATGGGAATTTTTTTTTTAACTTTCATTAATTTATTAAATTTACCTCAAATGTAAACTTTATATATACCAATCGATTCGTTTTCATGCAAGAAATATAATTATTTCATATATAAACTTCAATTTAAAAAATCACAAAATTTTATTGCCAAAATGTGAATTATCGATTTTTTAACTTTCATTAATTCTTTAAGTTTAAATTGAAACTATACTTTATATATACCAATCGATTTGTCTTGACGTAAGGAATACGATTTTATATATATAACCTTAAATTATTCTATTTAAAAAATTTTTCGATTAAAAAAAATTTTGGAAAAAAGACGATAAAATTTTTTTTCTTGGGTATTTTTAAAAATCCTTTGGTCAGATTTGAGATATTAATATGATAAATGAGCCTACCAAATTTTATCTAAATCCATTAAAACCTGTTAAAAACTACAAAGCTTCCTCCACGAGGAAGCAAAAACATTTAAAAAATCAAATTTTTGGATTTTATCAAGGTTATGTCAAAAGCCTGAAGTAATGGGGTTAAAAAACTTCAGATTTGGCTTCAGCGACCCCAAAAACATAAAGTAGGACTTGGTAATCTTGTAAATCTGAAATTTTCTTGATTTAAAAATTTGGAGTCAAATTTTAGAATTTTTGAGTTTGTTTCAAAAGTTATGGTTATGTAAAATACCTGACGCGGTATGGGGTTAAACTAACTTCAGATTCGGTCAAACCTCGAGCTCAGAACATGAATTTTTTTGTGTGCCTGTGTAATTTAATGTTAGGTATACTAACGTTAATCTATAATGTTAATTTTTCCACTTGCACACTGAGAAAAAGTTAATTTGGCTGAACCAAACAGTTTAACTGAACTATTTTGTTTGATACGATTAAATAGTTTAGTTATTCACAAATAAAAATTTGATTCATTCCAATAGAAGCATAAAATTCATTTAGTTAACAGAAACAAAATTTTCATTTAAAGTTATTTGTTATAACAAACAACTTTAAATACATTTAACCAAATCATTGCCTTGGATAAAGCGATTATACATGCGCATGTAATCAACAATAAGCACAGCGCGCATGCGCTTTCGGATCAGGTACACGCTGTCAACGCGATCATTTAAATCGCTAAATTTTATTTCATATTTTGTTAAAATTTATGGTTTACAATAAAATTATATTCATTTTGTAATTTTTGAAAAATACTGTGTGTTAATTTAATTACATATTTGACAACATTTTATAGTATATAAATTATAAAAATAGTAAAATTATGTCTTATTTTAAATCTAAAGTAACATATTTCGATGGATAAAAAGTATTGATGTAATTTTAATTTTTAATATTAATTTAATATTTCATACACATTTTAATAATTATAAATTTATAATTTATTATAAATTAATTTAAAACAAAGTTTTTTAAAAAATTGGGAACTTTAAAAATTTTTGACCGCCATTTTGAATTGTGAAAATCTGACTTCATATTTGAAATCAACGACTCCGAAAACTCCAAGATACCAGGTTTCATAATAAATTATTAATTTGTAAAAGATATCCTCTCACCTTTTATTTAAGGGTTATTTTTATTCCTAAAAACAAAAAATGACCTGATTTAGCAAATCGACCAGACACAGGTATTTTTTTTGACTCTAGTTTCCGAAAATCATTGATTTATTCGTGAGTGAAAAAAAAGTTGGCTATTTTGTCATTAGATAGTGAAGTCAAGGATATGTGAGGGAAAATTATAATGAAAATTTTGTGTCAATAAAAACTCATTTCATCAATCCTCAAATCTCGGGATTTTTAAATTCTCCTATAATGAGGTTTTTCATTTATAAATTAAAAATTATAATTAGTTATTATTAAAAGAGTGGACATTGTTATCAATATATAACATGCTTTCCTTTCTGAATTAAATGGTGACCCAGACGGATATTATCAATTGATGCAGTACTGACGGTTGAAGCTAACAAGTAATCTACATATTCCGATATGAAGGACCAGAATTAAAATATTTTTAATAGTAAAGCCAGAATTATTCAATTGAATTCAATTTTTGGACAATAAAATTTATATATTATGATGAAATCGTTTCCGGTCATTTTCCCAAATCCAAATTTCCCGAATGACTATGTAGGGCGCATGAATTTTCCATAAAAATCATTAATTACAATTTTTATTTTGAAGTATTTTATTAGAAATTATTATTTTTTAGACAAATTTTCTTTTTCTACGAATTTTTACTTAACAGAATTTACATGAATTTCATACCGTGGTTGTCCCAGTTTCCGTTTACTTTAATTTTGAAGATGACATTTATAAAAAAATTATTTTCTTTTATTTGTTTACTTCAACTAACAAGTACATTGCATGCCAAAAAAAATAAAATATTGTTGAAAAATAATTTAAATTATTATACGAGATATTTGTAAAAATGGACTGTTACTGGGACAACGACGGTATAAAAGAATTTTAATTTAGCAGAATTCTCATTCTATCGAATTTTGTGTGATTTGAATTTTTAAATGATATAGAAATTCCAATTCACCGAATTTGAAATTTTTACAAAGAGTGACGCCCTCGAATTTCGCATTTAAACATAGTCCAAAGTGCTTTATATTGAGGCACAATAATTCCATAAACATTTAGAGTTGAGCATAACCTTTGTTTTGAAGATACAGTGTTAAAAAAGGGTTAAAATATAATTAAAAAGTGGTTAAAATATAACAATTAAAACACGCTCAGATTCGTTTGAAACTTATTACTCGGGGGTTTTCATTGGATAAAATATAGTAAAGTTAATTTTTTTCATGAATCCGACATTTTGAATTTTTGAAAACTGA